GAGAATATGGCCTTATCTGACTTCTTTTGTATCTGTTTATTTCCTGAAGTTGCGTTTATGGAACCGCCAAACAATTGTGTGTTACTATCAAGAAAAAAACATCATTAGATTTTCAATCATTGATGAAACCTGCTAAATGTTGCGGATGTACGCTGTAGTAAATCATTTGCTCCAGTCGCAAAGCTATCGGCTAGCAAATGCACGTAAGTGAGCTGCTGAGTCATTCGCCGCGCGACGCGCCGCGTGCCGCGGGCGCTGCCCCGGACGATTCTGTTGCACGTCTCCCCAATACGACCAGTCCCGAAGTATTCTACTCCACCCACATCATTGTGGCTGCTCTGCCATCCGAGCTGGAATAGGACACTGTCGTCGATGAGGGGCAAACGACAGTCCTTTTTGCTCTTAGCAAGTGCTGTAATCCCTTTCCGGAGGGAGAAAAATAGTTTTGATGAAAGAGCAGTTGTGCATATGTCCGCTCCTCTAGTACTGACGTCTCTGGCTCCACGAAAGACAATCCTGCAGGAGGCAGAGCGAATTTCATCTCTGCTCTGATTCTTGAGTGATTTGTATGAAATTTCTCAGATATTTCCGTACTCCCCATAAATATGCTGTCAGCCTGTGAGTGTCTATTGGGGACTGGAAAGGTATAATAAAGTGATAGAAAGTGATGGAGTGTGAAGATGATAAGCTGTAAGAAAAGGGACGGAAATCAGTGAGAGGACCTATAAATATGTTCCGTCCAAGGTTTGGTTTTTACCCTGCAAATTGTTGCTCCCGTGGTGCGAAGGCTATTCAGAGCAAGAAAACAGTGATAACGAATAAGAAGATTGGTGGGACCTTTTAATTAATATGAACCACAAAAAGAACTAGCTAAAGTGCCAAATGCTCCTCCCAAGCTGAACAGCGCCGATTGTATCTATGACGAGGGTGCAGATTCAGTGGCAAGAGCTTCCGTATGCCTATTTACTTTGCTGGACTCGAAGTCGACGGACTTGGAGTGGACGCGATAGAGATGCTGGCTAGTGTCTCCTCTTTTGGAATGATCCCTCTGGTCCTTTTTTTGATTAGACACCGAATTTATCAGTTTTGAGCCCGTACAATGCTTGGAATTAATTGCAAATGTAGGGTCTTACTCATGGTATTCTTGGGAGCTTCCTCTACCCTCTTTGCTGACTGTGCTTCTTCAAGATGAAGTATTTGAATCGCTTCTAGGTACGTGCATTCCTGAAACCGCCAACAAAGGGAGTCATCCTGCAGACATTTGGTGCCGGTAATATGCCGACGAGGCGAAAGGATATCATTGAAGCTTTAACCGTAAGTAATTCTATTTCAGCAACATTTTTCGTATTTCTTCTTAATTCCATACCTTTTCTCGCCTGCTAATGAAAGAGAAGTTGCTCACCAACAGTCCTTTTCTTTGGAGTCTTCCACGCATGCTGCTATCGTCGTTGATGAAGTGGTGCTCATAGTCCGCCGCGTCTTTATTCGTACTCGCATCGCGGGACTCTTACGATTAAGTGCGCAACGGATGTGTGGTGCTCGAGCGCAAACAACCAATTTTGGAGCCGGCCTCTGATCAGTAACGAACAGAAATTATAACGAACCGCTCCACCGCAACCGGTACGATGCTCAAATTGCGCAAAGACGCGAACTGTGGACGGAACCGCTTGTAGATAGTTGCTCAGTAAACCTTCGAGCGCTACTGTAGTTTGGCGGGGCAGAGTGATCACATAGTCCTTCCCCCCACGCTCAGCCTTAGGCTGCGTTTATACTTTGCGGCAGCGAAGCGTAGCGCTTCCAGCGTACGCCAGAGGCAGTGTCGGGGAAAGGATAGGTATCGATCTAGCGTTTCCAGCGCCACCAGCGTACGCTAGCGTAACACTAGCGCACGCTAGCGTACGCCAGCGTAGGAGGGCACCGGGGATGTATAGATTATGATGGCGTAGCGCTTCCCAGCGTTTCACGAGCGTTTCACTAGCGTTTCGCTAGCGTTTGCAGCGGCGGGGCTAGAGAGTATAGAAGAGTAGGAGAGTACAAAATACTCTCCTACGCTAGAGAGTATCGAAGAGTAGGAGAGTATTTTGTACTCTCCTACTCTTCTACACTCTCTAGCCCTGCCGCTGCAAGCGCTAGCGAAACGCTAGTGAAACGCTCGTGAAACGCTGGTAGCGCTAGATCGATACCTATACATCCCGTGCCCTCGCTACGCTGGCGTACGCTAGCGTGCGCTAGCGTTACGCTAGCGTACGCTGGTGGCGCTGGGAACGCTAGATCGATATCTATCCTTTCCCCGACACTGCCGCTGGCGTACGCTGGAAGCGCTACGCTACGCTGCCGCAAAGTATAAACGCAGCCTTAGAAAAGCGCTGCGAATCGAAGTCTGTCGTGGTTCAGAGGCAGTCGCCCTTCAAACCCCTCAAAACACGACGCATCGAGGTGGTTCAGAGTCCCCGTGAGCCCCGAACCCAGGAACTCACGTCATCCCAGGGTCCTCCTCGGGGACCGCACTGGTCTCTCCCCAGTGCAGCCTCCGCTCCCCGAGGGTCTGCAGGGTTCCTATCCCGGGGGGTTGTGGGGGATCTTGCGGTAGCACTGTCCCCACGACTGGTCTACCCCTGGTCCGGCCACGAGGGCCAGACCAGGGATTCCCTGGTCGCAGCACACACAACAAGTAACAACAGCATGACAACAACAGCCTATGCGCCTTAGTCGGGTCCCCCGCCCTGGCGCTCCCCCGTGTTTACCCTGACACACGAACAACACAAACACAATTTATGAACACTCACATTCCCGCGGAAGCTCTTCTTCTGGGACAAGAGCATTTGTAGTACAGGCTTCGGTCGTCAGAAACGTAGTACAATCATTTTGTTTTCAGGAAGCTATCAAAAGAGGGTGTCTTGTCGTCAACTGTTCTCAGTGTGTCAAGGGGCAAGTTGACGTGAACTATGCTACTGGAAAGGTGAAACTTCATGGCCATTTCGACTTTTGTAGCATATTCCGTTCACACTGTGAGAAAATCACACGATCTTTTCACAGTTCATTGACATATTGTAATTATTTTGCTGTGAAAACCCCAGGTTCTGAATAGCAGTTCTTTATTGTGGTGCGAAGGCACACTACAAACCAGCCATCGTTTCGAACCAATCTCACCAACTGTACTTCAGCTAGTAGGCATACACCGTGCAGATTGTCTCCTGCTGCACGCTGGTCCCAAGGGGTTGATCTATTTTTCTCTGTTCTTGTGTTTACCTACATATTTCTTTTGCCGAACCCTGCATGTACGCAAATCCTGTCTCAATCCTTGACTTTCTTCCTGTTTTTTTTTCCTCGATTTGATCACGGCTTTCTGGGTCCCTGCTAGTTCTTCTCTCTTCGAGCCACCGTCTTCAGCTTTGTTACTGTCACTACTGGCAAACACATCATTCTGAAGGTTAATCGCAGTTCAGAGACAACTTATCGACCCCAATAAGACTAGACAGATTGAATGATAAGTTCTATCCTTCTGATAACTGGATCTGACTCGATAATAAGAACTGTATGAGTGCTTTGCTCGGAAAATTTTGTAATTATCACTTAAAAATATCATGCCGAAAAAGTCGTTGTTGAAATCCCAATATTTTAGGTGCTCTATGATATCGGTGTGATACCTGGATCAGATATGACATCTGAAGCAGCAATGGCTAAAATGTGCTATGTATTGGGTAAAGACGAATGGGATCACGAGACTAAGCGAATGGTATTCATCAGAGCGAAAATACTTCTTGTTCAGATTTTTTTTCCTCATTGGAGTCTTCTTGGGTTATTGGTGGCTTTTCGAAAGACTTGCATGGTTGTCAACAACATGGTCGCTTTTTTTTACTGAGTACCAAAATTGGGTAGAAGTTAAAGTGAGAGGTTTCGAACATGATTCCGCAGTATGTTCTAGCAACTTTAAAAATATGTCCTAGCTGAAAGAGTTACCACACTCCTGTTGAGCGGTGAAGGTAAATGGCTTGCTTCTGGAGTGCGTTCGCAAGGGATGAGGCGAGTAGTAGCGTTGGAGCCTGTAATCTTCACTAAAATTTGTAAGTAATAGGAACACGGTAGTTCTTTTCCCGACAATGAGCTATATCTCGATGAGCTTTGTGCATTTTGTATAGGATTCCTCAAGGGAACTCATACTTTATCAAAGTCTTCGTGGTACCGCCTTCTTTATCAATGACTTCGAACCCACTAATTACACCGTGTACCAGTAATTTTGCCTTAACTCTGCTTTTATGCCTTCCAACTCTTCGCACTCACATATTCGTCTGTTTCAGATGCTTCAAGCAAATCTTCGTGGTGAAATGACCGTCACCAACAAGGCGGCAAAAATGCGTGAACTTGATATCAGTAAGTCCGCCAAAAGCAACATTATTGAAAATTTACGCAAAAATACATTTTCTTTTCAAGTTCCCCACATCGCTAGATGTCTACGATTATCATCCGGTAATGAGGTGAAACTGATTCGCGATACTATACTTCCGCCATTACTTTGCAATGCAGCGAAGACGAATAAAGTGGAAATCCTCAAAAATGTCCAGGTATTCACGACAATCGTTCCAGCCGTTTTTCTGGGTTTTCTAGTTACTTTACTGTTTTCTAGTTTACTCATTTGCTTCGAAGTAGTGGTATTCCAAAGAATCCTGCCTATTCAGTCTGGAAACTCCGATAAATCTCTTCCCATAGTTCTTATACGTTATTGATCCCTATATATACCATTTTCACTTTAAATTCACCCTTTTTCAAACCAAATTCGTCCTTTTTCAAACCAAATTCACCCCTTTTTCAAACCAAATTCACCCTCACTTTTCATCAAGTTAACCACACTTATTAGGGCGGGCAACTCATCAACCAGATCACGCCAGACATCACTGCGAGCCCCGCCCCGACGGCCACGCCCACTTGTCAGCGCGGACATAGATTCTCAAATCTTGTTTCATAACTTCTGCTTTTGCTGTTTCCCACAAACACTTTGACTGGAAACCACCGTGCATTCACACATGGCCGACTCCGCCCATTCTCTAAAGGGTTTGGCACTCTAGGCTGACCACGCCCACTGGCTTTTCGCGGAATTTCGATGTTTTTTCAAAATTTTTGCATTTTAGGGTTGCTGCGTGAAGCCCCGCCCACTGTGAGATGCTCACTTTGAATTGGAGGCCCACTTTGAATAAGCCCCGCCCACTTTTCAAAAATGGTGCAGATCGGCAGTATAGAGACTTGGCTTGCATGTTAGGGTCTCGTACGTCACTCGGAACAAGAAAATCCGGCAAAGTTTATTCCGAATGATCAGCAATACCCTAACATGCAAGCCAAGTCTCTATACTGCCGATTTGCACCATTTTTGAAAAGTGGGCGGGGCTTATTCAAAGTGGGCGGAGCATCTCACAGTGGGCGGGGCTTCACGCAGCAACCCTAAAATGCAAAAAATTTTGAAAAAACATCGAAATTCCGCGAAAAGCCAGTGGGCGTGGTCAGCCTAGAGTGCCAAACCCTTTAGAGAATGGGCGGAGTCGGCCATGTGTGAATGCACGGTGGTTTCCAGTCAAAGTGTTTGTGGGAAACAGCAAAAGCAGAAGTTATGAAACAAGATTTGAGAATCTATGTCCGCGCTGACAAGTGGGTCCGTCGGCGCTCGGGCAAGTGATGTCTGCGCTCATCTGTATAGGATTCCCGCCCTAATAAGTGTGGTTAACTTGATGATATCTTGCACTTTCGTTGCCCCTCTACTTCCGGTTCACAAGTTTCTGGAGCAAGCTCGCCGAGCCACCATGGCGAAACCTGTCAACTCTTGTATGCTCATGAGATAGCTCTTAAGACGGTATACAGATAGATAAAAAATATTAGGTCGTTGCAAAAGAAATGCAGGATTTCGTTTTTTGTATTAATACTTATTTTATTCCAATAAAATGTAAGTGTTATATATCATTCGAAAGCTTATCTAATGCTCTTTCTAAATGATACTTCAAGATTGGTTGTAATTCTTTTTAGAGGCCACAAAATCGTTGAAGGCGTTTTTGACATCGTCTTGGTTTTTGAAGCCTTTCTCTCTAAGATAGTTGTCCAGATGCTTGAAAAAGTGGTGATCGGTGGGCGACAGGTCTGGTGAGTATGGTGGATGAGGCAGAGTTTCATAGCCCAATCCGTTTTTTCTGGAGGGTAAATTGTGCAAAGTGTGGTCGGGCATTGTCGTGGAGAAGAGTCCGGAATCGTGGAGTCCCTTCATATTGACCAACCTTGGGCACATGCGTTGAAGCTTCTGATGCATTTCGTCGATTTGTTGACAGTACTTCTCTGCCGTAATTGTTTCACCAGGATTCAGGAAGCTGTGATGGATGAGACCGGCGGCAGACCACCAAACATGAAGTTCATCTTCAAGGCTGGTGTTGCCACAGCGAAACTTCTGGAACCAACGTTGGACCGTAGATTCGTTGATACTTCCTTGACCCCAAACTTCGTTGATGTTCCGAGCTGTATCGGCATAGCTTGAACTCATAGAAGAAAATAGTGCGAAATTCACGTTTCGACATCTGCAATAAAATGTCAATAAAAATTATAATAAAATGAATTACAACCAATCTTGGAGTATCATTTAGAAAGAGCATGAGATGAGCTTCCGAATAGTATATAACACTTCATATTAAAGTAACATATTATTGGAATAAAATAAGTATGAAATACAAGCAAGCAAAATCCTGCATTTCTTTTGCAACGACCTAATAGATCGATACGTCGATGGGAAGTAGCAAAAGTGCAAAACGCCCTTCCTCGTCGCCAAACTGCGCCCAACTTTTTGTATCCCTATTTCAGTCCACTTTGCGTGGACCCTGGTTTTCCATTACAAACCTTTTAATCATGAGCGTTTGAGCTAAAAATTTGTTTATAGGACTCCGGCGTTAACTTCGGCGTTTGCGACTACAATCTTCGCACGGCATTGCATGTAGCGGCGAGCAGTGGGAGTCTAGAAACCGTGAAGTACTTGCTCAGCATCGGCGCCAATGTTCATGCCAAGTAGGTGTCATCTATATCGATAGTTAGAGACAGTCCACACGCTCGAGCAATTGGTAGGCGTCCTTCCTTGTGCAAGTAGTCTGTACCTCAGTCTCTGAGATTCCTCTTTTCGCGGCTTTCCATGAAGTAACGAAGGCCCTCGTTACTCCCGGGTCGACTCCCGCCCAGGCCAACCAAGCCTTCTACCCTCCGGGGACGGTAAATTGGTACCAGATTCGTCTGGGAGGATAAAACACTGACTTGTACATCGGCTGGCCACCGCAAGTCATTGTATAGGCCACATCGCATTCAATAAGCCACTACGATTCTGAATGGAAGTAGAATGCGTGCCGCATCCCACAAAGGGATTGATCAACGGCGAAGACGCCTCCCAGTTGTTTCGCCTACCAAAACCTAAGGGCACTTGCTTTCGCATGTTCAGTTTCATTTTCGTTTAATTTTTACTGTTAGATAAAGTTAGCTCTGGGTCACGCGAACAAACGATTCGTGAGCAACAGGCAGCAGAATCTCGCCTTGCTCACAAAACAAGCAGGTTGGGACAGCTCGTACAGTGAGGCTGCCAGGGAATCCTGACCGTGCTTTTCTATGAGTTTTTTTTTGCTTCTTTCTCCCCTGGAGAGTTACTTTGCGACTGTGGGCTCGTTGTTTAACGCCACTACTCACATTATGCTGTTGTGGGGTTGGTCCTCTCTCCCTTCTTTCTTTTCAACGCGTTCGGCTTTTGCAGGGAGTCACAGAGGATCCAAATGCTTTTATGGATTAACGACAGATTAGTGCTTCTGAAATGATGAGGGCATATAGCCGCAGTCACCTAGGGTGTGCCTCTATCGCCACCAGGGCACAGCATTCGATGGGGATTTTGGTCGAGCCTGTACGACCCCCCCCCTTTTTTGGGGGTTCGGTACGACCCCCCCCCTTTTTTGCCGTTCGGTTTTTTTCGCCTTAAATGAAACTATGAAACGCCCACTATGAAATTCTACTTGTATGAAGGTGCCCATACTAAATGGACGACTTGAAGTCATGACATAATAGAACAATACAGAGATGATTGCAAACAAAAAACGGTACAATCGTATTATGAGAAACTCGTATGATGAACTTCTTCGATGGCCGTTTTGAAACACACATGGTAATAATAACGATGTATCGCGATTAAATTCAATGAGCATTCGTTAACCTGAGGTGGACTCCCTCTCTGGGAGCGGCCATCAGCGACCACAGTGTTAACAACGTCTATTCCCAAGATTGAGGACGAGGAAAAGAGAAAGTTAGGCTTGTCTCACTACGTAACAGTTATACAAACCGCCGTAAAAATGCATTACCCCGATTATTGGAGTACGGTAGCAGAAGCGCATGTAATTGCGGCTGTGACAGGAGATTATTCGGCAATTTTAGCCATGGAGCGAGAATTTCCAGCTGAGTTAGGTGTCTTTGAAGGACCATAACTTCCTCAAAAGCGGACCTGTGGGGAAGAGGAGACCGTATTCGTGTAGAGGAAGGTTTGCACTTCCTAAAAGTACTGAAACGTTTATGAAGGTCGCAAAAATCACAGAGAAATCTGCCATAGGGATTCGTTGGGGAGTGATTTCAACTGAACAGGTTTGAATCAATATATTTTTTTGTAACTCAACATTTCACAAATCTGAGAATGGTTTCGAGTGTTTGAAGATTTTCTCTTTCTAAAAACCTCTTGAACTGTTTCTGAAGCTCTCGGGATTCATGAGATCTCGCTATGGGGATTTCTTGAGGAACACTCCCAGCTGCGCGAAAAACCCGTTTCCTGTGTACCGTTTCAAGTGAGCGTGTTCGAATAGCCAGGAACGCATGTAGAACGTATCCTGTGGTGGAGCAGGAGCAGGATATGGTTCGTTTAGCGCCGATCACGCTGACTTTGGATGCGCCGCGCACTGAGGGCCGCGCAGAGGTGATGGGATGGTGCAACTTGTGCGTAATGTCTGTTCACGCGAGCAAATGTGTCTATAAGGTTCAGGGAGGTCCATGGCGAGCCTGTGCACTTGTTTACAGTGTTTTCCGTTGCGTATGATGGAACATGTCCCTGTCAACGCTGCCAGATTCGTGCTCCGCCAATCGCTGACTCCGATAAAGGAGACCAACTGCTGGAAAACGTCTGATATGAACGATATGGTAGTCCTGTCGCTTGTCGAGAAAAAACAGGTTGGCTCAGCGCCAAGCGCGACCGCGGACACGCCATATCATCATCATCATTTTTGCCATATCATTGGCAGCGAACCAGAGTTTGAGTTGTACTGTTTAGTCACCAACGGACTTACGAGATAATGTCGACTTATTAATTTGCAGTTATTTCGGATTAGTTTGATGAATGAAAGTTTTGTACTATTTTTTTGCATATCCGAGTTCTCTACAAAGCAAGTTTCGTTGTACAGGACTCAGCACATTGACAATTTGCGCTGCTCGTTACTGGCTGCCGCACTCACTACGACCCCCCTCTCCTGGCGGCCAAATACGACCCCCCTGTTGGGGATTCCCCAACCAACGATGTGCCCTGCCGCACTCCAATCCTGTGATGCTTGCCACTTCTGCAATCGATTCTCTCGCCTTTGTGTTTGCAGCAGTGTGTCACCATCCCTCTAACCTCTCGCTGAGCGTTTCCTCGACTTTATAAGCCGCATGCTTGTCCAGTGCTGCAGATCAGCCGTGTCTTATTTACTGTGTTTGGAACGACTTTCTCCACCTTTCCACTCTAAGAGAGGGCGAATTCTGTAGACTCTGCAGGCGCTGATATGCAACCGCAGAGGCTTTTAGATTGAAGTGCATGACAAAAGTGGTGGAATCCCGAATGTCACGAAACTTCCAGTGAGCCCTTCGGATGCAATGTAATGTCTGTGTTTTGGACTCACGAACAGGACCTCACCAATCAACTAACTGGCTCGGATTAGAAAAGCTAGAGTTCATCCACCTCATTCCCCTGTGCTATCTGCGACCGATGGGCTTCACGGTTAGAGGCGTACGATAAAGTTTGTGATCTACTCACCTCATCTGCTATTGACGAGTCCGCTCTATAGGATGCTGTGCGGTGCTAACCATAATTATCACCACACATGATATTCCCATCAGCTCTGACAAATTCGAAAATGGTCATCTAACCCAAAAGAGGTAACTCTTTCAACCTCGTTCTTCGAAGTTCTTCTTCCCTTCGATGCCCTTATCCACGAGGCCTTCTTTGTTAAATCTAGCTTTCTTGGTGAAATTGAGCTATATAAGTGTCAATCGACCCGTTCTATCCTTCTGCAGTATTTTTCCACCAAACATTGATGAAAAAGGTTCCGTAACTTGAAGGATAAAAAGGGTGAAAAGGGTAAGTCGCCGCCTTTTGGGAAGCGGCAAATATTTACTTCCATTCAGAATCGTAGTGGCTTATTGAATGCGATGTGGCCTATACAATGACTTGCGGGGCCAGCCGATGTACAAGTCAGTGTTCTTATCCTCTCAGACGAATCTGGTAGCTTCACCGTTCCTGAAGCGTAGAAGGCCTGATTGGTCTGGGCGGGAGTATGTCCGGAGTTTTATCCCAGAATGCGCATGGTAAGCGTGCCTTTTGCCACTTACCACTTCCGCCTCATTCCGTCATTTACGCTCGTTTTATGCCCAAAGGTGTCGAAAATGCTGTCTTTGCCAGCTGGAATTGCATTTTCGAAAGCCTGATTCTGAAACAAAGTTTAACATTTGCAAACATATTAAAACACTCTTGTGGACCAGAAAAGTCCATAAAAATGGTACTTTATTGTTGGATCACGGCAATCAATCGCTGCAAAAACAATCCATCAAGAGATAACATCAGGAATTCATCCCCCAGCCCCATTAATACACGTGCACTCTGCAACATACAGTCCTCATCATTGCGGACCGGTGGGGCGTGGCAGTGCGGCTGCTTTGGTGCGGTTTGGCAAAATCGTTCTGCACCAGTTTTTGAAGCGGGCAAGTGCATTAGGCTGCGTTTATACTTTGCGGCAGCGTAGCGTAGCGTAGCGCAGCGTAGTGTTTTCCTTTTTACGAATGGCCCTATAAGGAGGTCGAAGCATTGGTCCAATAAAAAGTTTCACCTAACAACCTCGTTTGGCAGAAGTAATCAAACATTCGCTGTCACTTGCATTTTCCCGCATTTTCTTTCTTTCCTTGTGCCTTTTCATGCTCATTTATGATTTATTACTTTTCTTAAATTTATGATTTATTATGGCTCATTTCCATCGTGTTTCTCATATTTATCCTTGATTAACGTCGCGTCACTTCTGTCGTTCATTTTTGCAGACTTTTCATTTTTCGGTAGTTGTTTGTCCGCTGCTACCAGACTAACCCGGACAAGGGGGGGGGTCGTATCGAGACCCTTTTTAAGGGAGGGGGTCGTATTTAGCTGAAATTGATCACAACGCGATTGCATGCCCTGTGCTAAGGCTGCGTTTATACTTTGCGGCAGCGTAGCGTAGCGCTTCCAGCGTACGCCAGCGGCAGTGCCGAAGAGAGGATGCATATCGATCTAGCTTCACCAGCGTCACCACGCTGGCGTACGCTACGCTAGCGCACGCTGGCGTAGCGAGGGCACGGGAAGCATAGCTATCGATCTAGCTTCACCAGCGTTTCTCGAGCGTTTCTCCAGCGGCACCAGCGTTTTGCTAGCGCTTGCAGCGGCAGGGGAGTAGAGACTATGTGGCCGTAAGAGACGCGGAATCGACGTGTATTGTAGAGACTATGTGGCCGTCAGAGACGCGGAATCGACGTGTATTGTAGAGACTATGTGGCCGTCAGAGACGCAGAATCGATGTGTATTGTAGAGACTATGTGGCCGTCAGAGACGCAGAATCGATGTGTATTGTAGAGACTGAGGGCGAGTGAGAGACGCGCAATCGATGTGTTTTGTACCCTCCAGCTCTCCCATAGTCTCTACTCCCTGCCGCTGCAAACGCTAGCAAAACGCTGGTGAAACGCTGGAGAAACGCTAGCGTACGCCAGCGTGCCGCTGGTGACGCTGGTGAAGCTAGATCGATATGCATCCTCTCTTCGGCACTGCCGCTGGCGTACGCTGGAAGCGCTACGCTACGCTGCCGCAAAGTATAAACGCAGCCTTACTGTATTATATCCTTCGTATTACTCGTTTTCTACCACTTTTTGTCGCATACGCGTTGCAACAAAAAAGGCTGAGAACGGCTTCAACAGTGTGCGCACTCCTTCTGGCTGGCACGCCCCACCGGTCCGCAATGATGAGGACTGTACGATGACCGCTAGAAAACCCTTACTTGTATTTATGCCTATAGATCTTGTGGGATTATTCTTGCTCTTCTAAATCAATCGTCTACAATTATAGAAGAACAAATAATGTCATCACCTATGTATTTTAGTTGTGATAAGTGTTAATAATAATTGCTATGTACGCATTCTCTTGCTACAGAGACCTCTTCGGGTATAATCCTCTATTGTGTGCGGTAAAGGCTAAGGCACTTCCATGCGTTATTGCACTTCGTGATTCTGGTGGTATCATCGACATACCACCGTATAAACTCGGTGGGTTTCAATAACATTGCAAAGTCTTCTAGCTCCAATATTTTTTGACTAGACCGCTCTTCTGAACAGTAAAGCAATATTATTTCATTATTAGGAGTGGACCTTTGCCTAGCTGCAGCTCATGGCGACATAGATCAGTTGAAATGTTGGTATGCAGCAGGCAGCGATCTGACTGAGACTGATTACGACAAGAGGACTCCACTGCATGTGGTTAGAGCGAAATTTAACTTTAATTGAAGTTGAAGTCGTTCACCAGTAACGTGAACGATATTTGAGAGCTTGCAAAAGACTGAACGACCAAGCTATATAATTCCAGGCTGTCACACACAATCAGCTGGAAGCAGTTCGATATCTGATGGAGAAAGGCGTAGATCCAAACGCTGCTGACGAGTTTGGTACAACTCCATACAGTGAAGCCAAGAGGAAGGGCTATGATGTGAGTTTACGAGACTGATTCTCAGGCGAGGTTAAGATCCTATTCCGTGATTAGGGTGATTGTTCATCTTCAGGAAATTTTGAACGAGCTGAGGACTGGCCTAACTCGCCGCACTAACGATACAATTTTTGAGAACGAGGCACAGGAAAACGGGCCGTGAAACGACGGTAGCACTTGGTTACAGATCTATCACAAAGAGCTTTTGTAAATAATTCTCTGTTCAAAGTGTCATTACGACTACTTACTTGTTCACCAGATGAGTAACTTTAATTTGTAGCCGACTTTTAGTCACTTAAAAGTGTGGACAAAACCGGGGTGCTTCTATTTTGTCACTTGCAAAGAGCCACCGAAACAGTTCCTTAAGTCTTTTAGTTTGTCTGGACGATTGATGAAACACATTCGTGATAAATGCAGTTCTTTTAATTTTGACGACGCAGCGATTTTGCATGCTATGATTAGGTATAGAGTTCAAGAATTAGATCATTCATCGATTTTTAAGCATGTGTCACTATGTGAGATCTTGTTGTGAGTAGGATAAGTTTATAAAAATTGCGTAAGTAGCAGTATTTCAGAACTACTGAAGCATTTACAGTAGGCACTCTCGTTACGAGTATACCATAATTTATATAGATAGATGAACAAAGCAATAAATAATGATGTACGTCTTGAAACGTGTATGCGTCAAGGACTCTATGAGGCGCTTAAAGACAGCTCCCGCGATAAAAGTGACGTGGATAGTTGCTTTTCAATTATGAAACAGTAGCTGATAAGAAGTTCTCCAAAGAAGGAAAAAAGCAAGAATGTTCCCAAGAACACTAAACAAAATCGCTCCCTGGCAGTCACACCTTCCTGCGGATTTCCTTTATCACATCTCCCGGTAGTAGGATCATCCAATGCAATGAAAAGAATACGAAAAACAACAAAACACGGAAGAAAAACTCTTGAAAAGGAAAAGAAACTTTCAAAAACTAGGCGTCTAATTTAGGGTTACGGTAGCGTGCATCTTTTAGTGTAGTGTGGTGCGTCGAGCTTTTGCACCACGAAAATTGGGTCGCTCGTGATTTTTACGCGTTTTACCTTGCAAGATGGGTTGGAGTTGACTGTATGTGCTCCTAATGAATAAAATGTAATAAAGGAGAGCAGAATCATTCATGGGCACGAGCGCGGTCAGCAAAAAGGGCATGCATTCCGATTAATGCCCGCCGCCCCAACAAAGAACAACTGAGCGGCTCTCCGTCAGAGGGCATCTAGCAAGTGGGCGGTCCAACTGGGCGGGCGTTAGAACTAGAACTTTCAGCAGCTGTAGCTCGCTCCTCGCTCGCTGTGGAGTCGCGAGAGTGGGACAGTCTCTAGCTTGGGGGGGGGGCTGTACTGTTGGGGCCCATAAGTAATGGCGTTTTTTTCAATCGGTTTCAATTGGAAATTTTGTTCAAAAAGTGAAAGGTTTTGCGAGCAAGTTCATATCATCTGATAGGAAACTTCTTGTACTATAAGAATATCGAGACTTTGAGTGAGGAAATGATTTTTGTAAGTTTTCCGGGCGTTGGAGTTGAATGTTGAGTCGGCGAGAATTAGTACTTTCGACAGCTGCCTCTATTTATACTCGAAATCCCTGAGATCGGGTAGGCGTGGCCGCATGTTTCAACTTAACCTGAAGGTGTCTATGCTTCTGGTGAGATATTTTCATCTTGACACAATTGTTGTCGTGTCTCTGTCCAACACAGAACAAGATGACAGTTGTCCCAGACTGGAATATTCCACGAGTAACCAGTTCCGTGCCATGTTCAAATGCCACGCCTACTCTGGATGATAAGGAGTGTACGTCTATTCAAATTGCTAAAATCGCTTGGGCTGCTCAATACATTTGCAATAGGTTGAGCTAGAAGTCCCAGCGAGGGAATCTTCATAGGACGCTTCGGGACTAATTTCATTTCCTCACCAAAGCGTTTCGATATTCTTATAGTACGAGAAGTTTCCTATCAGATGATATCAAACTTGCTCGCAAAACCTTTCACTTTTTGAACAAAATTTCCAATTGAAAAAAACGCCATTACTTGTGAGCCAACCCAATTCTTGTACAAGGAAGGACGACCATGTACTAGCGCGGGGGCGTCTTTAATGTTGGCCTCCTTGAAAAGCGCCTCAAGCTCACTTCAATCCTCATGCTAGGCACCAAAATGTGCAATCTCCAGCTACTTTTTTTATTGCATTCTATAAGATCATTTTGACATAATTAGTTGTTATATGTGCTACACTTCTTGCGCTCTTCACAGCTGATATGCGTGGCTCTCACTGAAACAGCCGGTTCTTCTTGAACAGCGAGGGCGCAGGATGTCATAGGCGGTGCGGCATGGAGGAGACTGACCATATCAGTACGAAAAAACGTACTAAAGCGGATACTGGTACGACAGGAAAAATAAATAAAATAATAAAAGGAAAAGAAACAGACTTAAAGGCACCGCCCGCGTTCAATTTGATGAGTTGTGGGGCTTAGACACTGACAACAAGGTAGCACGTAGCTCACTAGTGAAGAAAAATGCAAAAAAATCATCGGATATGCCCTATATAGGACCCCACGCCGAGCTGAGGTTGTACGTGCTTAAGGCGAAGAGAAGGCGCGGCCGCACGAGTTCTCACTTGTTGGTATCAGCTGTTTTCCCTTATCACCTCACTCTCACCATTCGAAGTGGAGAGAGTTAGTAGCAGAACAACCGCACCATCAGGCAACCATTAGAAATGAAGTTGGGCGTAGTGGTCGCCAGGTGGGCGGGGTGGCCGACTCTTCACGAGCGGGCGCCGCTATTCTCTCGCATTTTTGAGTTGCGAAACTAGTACGTCCACCATCCTCATAGGGTGAGCTACGATATCCAAAGAGGGCGTAGAAACAATAAATGAACGCGGTCGCTGCCTTTAAAAGATGACTGCGCAAAACTGCAGTTGCTCTCTCCTCATCCAGCTTTTCGGAGAATCTCTTAAAGTACCCTCATCTGCTGTATGAGCTTGATCCTAGAAATGATAATGCAATGCTGTGCTTTATGCATAGAAAGGTAGAAGTAAAGAGCAACATCGTAAAAAAGGAACCTTCTTTGCAGAAGCTTCTATAGTTTGGTTTCGTTGGTTTCCCTCCTATCGAAAGGGGCCATACCATAAACGCGCAGATTTATGGAAAGATTGCGCAAAAACAAAAACTTCCCACCAAACTGACCGTTGTAGGAAGAATCGGTGCCTCAATCGAACTGTCGCAGTGCGTAGTCGCTTAAGGCTGCGTTTATACTTTGCGGCAGCGTAGCGTAGCGCAGCGCAGCTAGGTAAGCGCTATCCAGCGTACCACGGTCAGTGCCCGAGAGAGGATGCATATTGATCTAGCTTCAACAGCGTCACCAGCGGCACGCTGGCGTACGCTAGCGGCACGCTAGCGTACGCCAGCGTTTCTCCAGCGTTTCACAGGTTTATGCTATGCGTTTGAAGCGGCGGGAGTAGTAGAGCTATTTGGCAGTCGAAGAAGACAGAAATCGGCGTGTATTGTAGAGACCATGTGGCCGTCGGAGACGCAGAAGCGATGTGCATTGTAGAGACTATGGGCCGTCGGAGACGCAGAAGCGATGTGCATTGTAGAGACTATGTGGCCGTCGCAGACGCAGAAGCGATGTGCATTGTAGAGACTAAGGGCGAGTGAGAGACGCGCAATCGATTTGTTTTGTATCCTCCACTACTCCATAGTCTTTCCAGCTGCCGATGCAAAAAGCTAGCAAAACGCTTATGAAATGGTGGAACGCTGCGGTACGACTAAGCGTGCGCTTAGGAGTCGCCACGCGTGCGCTGTGACGCGGTGAAGTGATGATATGGACATCTGCTCTATCGCCTGCTGCTGGCCGTTACGCTGAAAGCGCTACGCTCGGCCTGCGCTACGCTTACTCTTACGTTGCGTCAAAGATATAACGCAGCCTAAACACATCATTGATTGCAGCGCTTTGTCACTGCTTAGGGTTGGAAGAGAGGTCTTGCGACAACTTCACCGAATATATTCGAATCAAAAGTTATTTTTCTCATGAGCGAACATTTGCCTAAACCAACATGGTAATCATTTGATTAATAGGACATACGCTGAATCTTTGCACTAGCCTTCATCATTTCCACTCCTATAAACTACTAGGGAAAAGGAAGTGTGGACTCTATTATGAGTGGGCGTGGATTTTCGAAATTTTTGCTCTCTAAAATATGCAGTAGGGATCGAAGGAGGTGGAGGTGAAGGATGCTGAGTTCGGTGAACAAACTGGGTGCGGCCGCATACCCTAATCGAGATCATTAATCTTTTGACATTTCTCGCACCCCCATGCAGTCTTCGCATTGAAGAGAAAGAAATTGAAAGTTGCTGAAAGAAATCAAGCATGACTATCCACGTTCTGAGGTTGATTGAAGTAGATTGTAGCCGCCACTGCTGCGCCACTATCCTGCGACATCGGTTCCTACTTTCACCACCAACTCAGTGGATCCTTTTTTTTTCCATGGACATCTGCATTTGACTAAGCAGGTGACTTTTCTCCCTTGAAGATTCTGTGAGAGAAGTGTGCACGGTTGCCACAAGGAAATCCGCTCTCGTTCCCAACCACAATGTATCACAAGAAGACCTTCCAGTGTGTACATAGTATAAGGGAAAGCTCAGTCACGACCATTCTGTGCGCATTGTCACATTAGTCCAACTCATATGGCATCCTTCACAAAAATTTTTTCATATATTCGAGATTGCGGAAAAGCATGCCTGTGGTCATATAGGTGCAGCCCAGAAATGTTTGTTGCCAAGATAGTCACGTCGGGCTGCTCCTCATCGGAATCGAGTAAACGGCGCTGTCCTTCTATGCTGGTGTCTATGCTGGTGGCAACCTATAAGTTGCTTACCTTCAAACAAAGTAAGTCCAGCTTACAAGCGCCTATACAAACGGACAATGTGCTATGGCAAGCGACATCCTTCCTGAAGACAGCGCATTTGTTAACCCCCTCAACTACGACAAATCAGCCCTACACAAGTACGTAGTATGGGATAGGTCGAAGAGTACCTTAACCTTCGGGAGGGTTCTAAATTCTGAAAGCTATACCTGTCTACAAAAACCTCAGAGGGCACTCTCCATCAATTAGGGGTGGAAACATAAAATTGCTTCCTAA